GCCCCTCTCGGCAACAACCCCTCACGGCTTTAAAACGCGTCACTGGTAGGAGTAAAATCCTCCCTTCCTTATAAGGAAGACGAATCCCCCTGGCCTCACCGATGTGGGATGCTCCTGCATTGCTACAGGAGCGTTGGGTTTAATAATCGCGGATTTGATCGGCTCGAGGGAACGATGAGGCGGAAGTCCCAACAAATACCGGTACCTATTGGGCTCGTAATAGATCCATATCGAGTTTTAGGTTGAGCCTAACTAGTCCTCGAGCCAAAATCCTAGGTCATTTCGTAACCGGCATATGACGGTTTCAACTAATCCTCAACTAGTTCTTGTTGGAACTGATCCAGTTCTTATCCAGGTCTGATATGATTTTATTAGAAAAAAAATTGTATGTATATATTTATATTTTGTATGTTTAGCTATGTGGGTACAAGTTAAATTAAAAAGCAGAAAATACTGTGAGAATCATTAAAACCAGTGATTTATGATGAATACTATGATAATTATAATTAATGAATATTCATGATGAAGATGTTGATATTCATGAATAATTTTAGATTTTGGTATGTGTAGGTATGTAGGAACAAGTTCAATTAAGAATTGGAAATATGTTGAGAACCATTAAAACGAGTTATTCATAATGAATATTATGGTTATTCATAATGAATATTATGTATTTATACTATATTATAAAAATTTGATAAAAATTCTTAAAAATATTTTTTATGCATAAATTACTGTTTATTGATGCATATTACTTAAAATTCAAGATTACAATTTACAAGTAGAATGAGCATGAGTACATCTTATTAAAGCTATATGTTTAAATTCGTGTAACTAACTGTAGATAAACATAATCAAATACATGATAAAAATCATTTTGAATATAAAAAAATCTTAAATATAATTAAGATAACCATTGAGTTCTAACACAATCTTTAATTATTATCTTCAAAAATTATTATATTAAATCAAAAATAATTTAGTTCGTTTTTAAACTTCAATTAAATTATATAAAAAATTGAAATAAAGAAATTACACAAAAACGAGAACTTTTAAATAGTTAATTTGATACTAATATCGCTTATTTTTCCAAAATTATATAATATCTTCAAATTTCTATTTCATTAAAAAAATAAAAAACGTTTTTTTATCTCAAAACCACATAAAATCACATTATAACATCGATAGACCCAAAACATACCCGAAACATTAAAATTAAGATGTATCTCGTTGCATTGCGCGAGTACTATTCTAGTATTAATAATGAATGTCATACGAGTAAATACTAACCATGCAAACACTGATACTAATGAAAAATATAATTTATAGGTGTTTACGTATTTTCATAGTAAATAGTTGGTTGTCACACGTTTTTTAAAATATTTACGACTTCTAAAACAACTTTTAACACATGTATTTTTTTTATTATCGTTATTTTTTAAATAATAAAAAAAGGACAAAAACCAGTCACGTCAAAACACAAGTGAAATAGAATAAAGAAGAGGGGGACCTCGAAGGTTCGTTATCGAATTCAATTCCTTATCCGATACAAGGTTATCATCTATCCTTTTCGTTTTATATTTTATAGTTATGATATCTGATTTTTGATTTGTATCGTCTATAAAATTTGCAAGTATTTATTATATACATATAAATCAAAAGAAAATTAATAGAATATTTGTACTGTTACGAGAAAAGAACAGGTAGACGTCATCCTCTGAGCCCTCCTACTAGGCGTGCTCAAAAACCCGACCAACCCAACCCAACCCAACGCGAAATAACCCAATCCGAAGCAACCCCATGTCTAATCTAGTTGTAAAATTGTCAAACCGTAGGTATTGAATTGATATTGGGTTACTATTATTTGAACCCAACTCAATTCGATGAACCCGGTATCCTTTTATTTCTTGGATTTAATATGATCGTTGAATTTATATTAATATATACATTAGACAATTACACTATTATATATGCTTTTCATATACACATATTTTCAATCTATTCACATCTTTATATAACTCATTCGTATATATGTTCAATAACTATGAACATATATATGTAAATTGAGAAAATTAACTGAATGTGATATACGTAAGAAATATGAATAAATTGTATAAAATGGTTGATGATGAAAAGGAAATTATGAATAAATTGTATCAAATGGTTGATGATGAAAAAGAAATTATGAATAGAGAAGGAAAATATTCAAGGTTAGAAGAATAATTTAATGTACCAAAGTATCAACCCGACCAACCCATACGGGTTGGGTTGGGTTGGGTTGTGTTGCACTTTGGTTTGAGTTGAGTTGGGTTGGGTTAAGATTTTTCAAACCACAAGCATTGAGTTGGGTTGTTCAAATGTCTTCAACTCGATCAACTCAACCCATAAGCACCCCTACCTCCTACTATGTTGGTCCAACAGCACAACCACTAAGGATGCACATTCGTTGAGTTGGTTGATTTGGGTATTTTAACTAATTACAGTTACGACAGTTTGGAAAAATCTCAATTTAACCCAACTCGTTAAAAAGTATGCCCATGTGGGTTTCAGTTGGTTAAGTTTGGTTAGCAAGTCAATGCTATATATAAACTTTTTTTTATTAAGCTGGATATCCAACCTGTTAAACAAGCCGACTAATCTCAAGATGACCACCCGCTTCGCAAGTCGCACAGAGTCACCATATTTGAACCTCCGTGGCCACAAGAAGATTTTTATTCCTCCTTGGATTCAAACATGGGACCTCCAAACACTTTTGACCTTTAGAGCCCAAGCTCAAACTAATCGGACACCATCCTTGTAGTTTATGTAAACATTTATAATTAACATAGAAAAAACAAACAATAAGCAATCACTTGTCATATAATTAAAAGGCGGACTTATTAGTGATGTTTAATGTATTATAATCGTTGACAAACAAGCAAAACAAAGAACTAAAAACGATTTTATTAAGTCGATCACCACACGGTAATAATCCTGACAATGACAAACAATGACGGATTCAAAAACTTAGGTGATAAGGGGTCTAGGATATAAAAAAAATCAGAAATCGAATAATTACCTGAACCAAAAGAGTTTTGGGTTATTCGATTTGCGGGTTAACTGTTTCAGTTAACTAAATAAGGTAAATTACGATTTCCATTATTTTTTTACCGTATTGGTTAACCGAATAGCGAAGTAAATTATTATTTAATTTATGTATTTTTATATAGATGAATTGGTTTCAACATATATAAAACTAAATCAGCAAGAAACTGAGATATATTAACAAAATCATCAACTAACGTTATCATTGTAGCATGATTGTAATAATTAGCGGTCACAATATACGAGAAGAACGACCGTCAAGAAAAAGGGTGGGGGTAGAGATGGCCAAATGGGACCAGCCGGGGACTGAATGTGACCGATGGTCCGGGACCGGTTACAATATTCCACCGAAAACAAGGCCCGGCCTGAGACCATCCCGATTTTTTATTTATAAATTTAATTTTAAATGTATATTAAGTGTATTTTATTGAAGACCAAAATATATATATATATATATATATATATATATATTATTAAGTGTACTATGTTTAAAAAAAGTATTTTTAACGTATTCGCTTGACCCAATTAAATATTCTAGAATATATTTAATCGACCAAATTCTTTATAACAAAAACGTATTTTCTTAGTGTATTTGATTGACACAATTATAATAAAACGTATTTGTTAATGTATATGATTGACCAAATTCTTCAAAAAATATTTTCTATGTCATAAAATCAATTTAAAAAAAAATTAAAAATAAGTGGGATCAATTTGGACCCAACCCGAAATTAGGATCGGGACCGATTCTCATATCCAGGCCTCATACCCTACCAAGCCTTCGTATTTAGGTCGAGACCAAGACCAGGACCGGTTACACCAGAACCAATTACAGGATTACTATTCGAGACCGGGACCAATTTGGGCCCAATCCGACCCGAAATCGAGACCGATTTTTGACCACTGAGAAAAACCGTAAAAATTTGACCATGGAAAACTAAACATGAGATAGGAAAAAACAATTTTACCTCCAAAAGTTTAAAAAATTTACATTTGAGTGGGGGCTTTCTCCACCTTTATGAAAGTGAGTCTCCCTCATGACAAACTACTATAGAAAAAACCAAAGCTAACTTTGTCGTAGTGGTATTATAATCTTTGGCCTCCTAGAAGGTTAGGGGTTCAAACTTCGTCATAAGTGAGAAGGGTGTGTGAATTTATTTGTTACATTTATCTATGGAGTGTAATGGTCTACATATGGTCGCCTAAGAGCATACAAGTTGGTCTATAAGGTTGAGTTGCATATTAGGATGAGATGCATCGAGACGCACCAGATCAATCCCCATATCAAGCACGATTCATAGGTGGGTTTGAGATTAAAGATGATCATGGGTCCAGATCTCCTCTTACGCTTCTCACCTTAAGTCTACATTATCACACAATCCTATGCCTTTTATTTGTTGCAATAGTAAAATTAGACTCTTATTTTAAGACAACATAAATAGAAATGTAGACACCTTGGCACGAAGGGAGTAACACTTGAACAGAAAAAAGTATACCCGAGTCTACAAAAATAATCTGGATTGACGGTTTTACCAAACAACCATTCGAAAGGAGATTCAACCGAAAGGTTTTCACCCTAGGCTAAGCTAAGAGATGCACAAAAAAGTCCTAGCCTGAAAAAGTTTGGTCCTAGTAAGCTCGAGCCGGACCCAGACCAGGATAAAAACGAGATCAAGCCAACCTTCTTTTTCTAGGCTAAACCACTAGTCAATCGTAGTGAGTTGTAGGTAAACCAAACCAAAACAATCCAGTAACTCTCGGGTCTGAAAAGGGTAAAATGTGGACCGACATTTCCTCTGCTCAAATGGATAGAGAGGTTGTTTCCGTAGTGAGTTTATATGTATATTACTGAATAAACCCTCTTTTAGATCATAGGCTCTGCCAAGACAGAAAGAAACAACGAGCGAGACCCCAAGAGTAAAATACGACCAAATTGCATCGAAGAGAAAACGATAACTTTTCACACCCCTTTACCTTCAGACGTTCCCTTCCAAAAATCCTTTAGACAACCTCAATAGTTTTTCGTTTTTTGCTATTGAAGTAAGACTAGAGTGCTAGAACTGTAATTAAATTAAAGCTCAGTGGCAACAGTTTACCTTAAAGTTGTCGATTCGTACATATGAAGTTGCTTTCTAGTTCTCGGGGTCGTCGGCTCTGCCATCTTCTTCGGCCAACTGCTTTTCTTTTTCTTGTTGCTCTGCTTAATATAAAACATATATTAGGAAGCCAAGTTTAGAAAATTTTGAAGATATAGTAATCATGTTTCTGCGGTAAAATGAAACCGCAAACATCACATCCAACAAGAGAATTGGGCTGTGTTTGACAAACTAGACGATAAGTTAGTTGTTGGCCGATAAGCTGGATGTTAGCTTATAAACTAGTATTCTGGTTGATAAAACAGATGACAATACAATGACATGTCAAAAAACTAACTGAAACATTTGGTAGCATAATTAGAAGAAAAAAACTCCTGGAGCTTATTGAAACGTAGCTTTTCAAAAAAGCTAGCTTATGGCAAGCCAAATGGGGCTTTTTCAATAAGCTCAAAAAATAAGCAAACTTATGGTTGACAAACATGGCCTTAAAAAGGACAAGCCTCTACCCTTCCCATATAAATTGCAGCGTTTTGTTCTCCCGAAAGATTCCAAGTTAAAATTACTTATTTGCCCAGTATCATATTTAGGAGCATTAGTCATGCAGGTGAGGACCCACTATCGTGCATATGGTGGTACGCGCTACCGCTTCGCTCTTTCGTTACTCCACCGTATTATTTTGTTGGGTGCAAACGTATAACACAAGTTTCTTGGTTTGCATGGTCTTTTCTCCCCTTCCAAGCGCGAGTTCGAAACCCGTTTGTATCATTTTCTTAGCTTTTAATTTCATGGGTTTCTGAAAAAAAATTGGGATAAAAGACTCGAACACAAGACCTCACATACGAAAAGCAAAGAACCAACCAACAAACCAATAATGTTTTGCAAAAAATATCCATGGCTTCCTTTCTTATAGTCAACTGAAGCCACTGGCCCTGTGGCCCACTGCTTGAAAAAATTCCTACGTCTGCCTCCGTAGTCACATGGCTTTTGGTACCACATTCTACAGCAGTAGAAAGGCCAATATATTGTTTAATCACATTCATAAAGTGTAAGATCAAACAAGAACACAATGCAACAATTACTCTACCAAGAAAGATGATGATCAATGAAACCTACTAATTTAGACAGGGCAGGGACTGGTTGCTACCATATGCTTTACTTCATTCGGTAAAAGGTAGAATGCACCGGAAAACGAGGTCATCAAGTTTTCTGGTACTGAAAAAATTATCTCGTCTTCACCACACGCCAACCCAAAATACAAAAACCATTGGGAGGAAATTATTTTCTACATGATTCCTAGACTCGAGATTGCAAACTCGTAATGGTCAATATCTTGAAGTTACTTCAGGGGAAGTGCAACCTATTGTAGATCATTTCAAATGGATTAAAAGTGATATAGGCGCACCAAGGGAAGTACAATTGCAAACCTTTTTCAGTTGTGAATCGAGGAACAAAGGAGAGCATGACACATGTCCCCGGTTGTTCACATTCATCATGAACATGAACATTAGTGATGAATGATACACCATTCATGATAAATAATATCTGTGAATGTCTGCGATACGTGACACACTCTTCTTTGTCCCCTGGTTCACAACGGAACTTAGGTTTTCAATTGAACCTGCCCCTAGGCATACCATCACCAATGATCAAATAATCAAGCAGAAGTGACCACAAGAATTGTGTCTATGGATTGTGGATTTGTGATGTTTGACAATTAGATTTACAGAACAGGAATTTTTCCTCTAAGTTTTATATAATCATTCAGGAAATTTTGTTATTTATTTCGGGTGGACGGTGATGTTGATGGTTGCATGGAAGTGGGGATGAGGATAGGAGCAGAAATTATGCTAATTAACAAAGTCAAAGAAGAAACAAACATGTAGGTAAAGAGAAATAATAGAGAACATATATAACCAGCAAGGATTCACATACCCATAAGTTGCAAGATGGCCTTCTGGGTGCGTTTTTCAAGCTTATCAAGTTTCTTCTGTACGTCCCTTCTAAGATCCCAGTTTGGTTTTTTGGGTGCAATGTTCAAAAAAGGATCCTGGAGAATATTTAAGACGTTTATATAAAACGAAAATCACAAGAACCTATAGGAGAAAGGACATAAATAAGTAAAATGAAAACATTAGAAGCCCTAACTCACCTCCTTTTTCTCTTCAACAAGAGTTTCATTAGCAACAGGGTCTTCAAACTTTGGTAATTGTGGTGGAGCAAGTTTACCCTCCTGAAGCTGCTTATCATGAGGAAGATAATTTCGGAATTTCACATTAACATCACTGCACGGATTTAGCAGTTAGCTCACCTTGATAGAGCAGGGCATAGGCAAGTTACTCCAGTAAAGTCAGGTTATCAAATAAATGTGTGTGTACGTATGTTTGTATATATGTATCGACTCTTAAGGATTTTCGCAGCCACTCAGAATTAAGTTGAGAGCATAATGAAGCAACCATCTGCTGGTAAATGTTAAGCTTCTAGTAACCTTTCTTAATGAGCAAGTTGAAATGCAATGAACAATTGAATGACATTTGACAAGTGATTATCTATCTACAGCAAGAAGTTGAAACTTGAAAGTATACAAACAGTTTCCGGTCCTTTCAGAATATTTGCAGAACTGATGAAATGCAATATGTATGATATGCCAGACAAACAGCCAAAGAAAACTAGCATTAGCAATGGAATATTTCATGGTTTCACCAACATCACAATCCATGGATGCTTGCTCACAATTTTCAGCATTTAACCTAAAACTTTGACGATCTATGTGATGTTTCTATGCAACTATAAACAACAGAGAATGCTGTAATTTTCTTAGATGAGTAACTACAAGACCCATAGCATTTCAACTAAAAGAAAAGAAGATGATCATGTAGATTTTCATCATAAAAAAAATCATAATGTGTGGACTTAACTTCTAATGTTGAAAATTTTAAAATTTTCACGTAACTATAAGTTGTGCAAACATCGTCTTATATGCCGCATCTTAGGAACAATTTACTTTTCGTGGGAGCAATGTAGATGGAGGGAAGATTTGTAATTCTGTCGAAATACCAATTTGGAGTATAATAATCTATCAGTTGCTGTGGTGAGAAAAGCATGACCATGAAGAATTTACATGTGATAATCATCATTTGCAGCATAAAGATCTGCGAGATATTATTACCACAACATTTGGTCATTTGTGCTAGTCCAATCCTCTGCAATTCTACTCTAAGCAATTTCACATGGACAAATCTGGATCCATACATTTTTACAACAAATATAACATGATTATGCCATTAGAAAACAAAGACACCAGTGTTATCTGTTTCTCTTTTCTATATCTTTTCTTTCCGAAACACGATCCAAAAGGTATTAACTGAATTACACTGTGTAATTTTCTAGGGAGCCATATATCAACCAAAAATACATCTAGTTGACAAATTAATTAGCAGAAAAAAATAAGGATTGTGAATTCTCACTTCTCTTCATCGTCAACTCCATTTTCACCATCAGGCTTATCATTGGCTTGAGCTCCATCATCCTCAGGATTCTCAAGAAGTTGTTGAGCAGCTTTCAAAGCTCTTAACCTCTCACGTCGAGCTGCTGCTGCTTGCTCTATAGTTTCTTCTTCATCACTAGCCATCTCTCAAGATCACCACCAACCTACATTTTTTTGGTATGGTACAGATGGTTCCATTAACATATACATTATGGATTATCAAACTTTCTTCCTCACCAATTTTATCAACCTATTTGGGAGTTTGAACTTCAAGTTTGTATAGTTAATTGATTAATTTTTTCTTGAACTAACAATTTATGTAAAATTACATTAAAGCAGGGCATGACATATGATTACAAGAAGTAATAATACTCCTCCATTTCCACACTTTGACTTTTGATGTCAAGCCTTGTACTTAAGAAAGCAATAGTTGCATCACTTGTGCTGCAAATTTTTGTATTATTTGTTATAAGCTTGTAATCTATTGCCAAATTTCTCTCAGAAATGCTATACTTCATCCTAGTACAAATGCAACATCCAACTAAGCACGTAGTTTTAACGAGGGTGTTTGACTTATGACAGGATAGAGGGGTTCTTCTAGATGAAAATCAATGCTATCGGGTTGAAAATAAATGCATTTGATAAGCGAAGATGCAACACCTTTTTTTTGGAAATGGAGTAGTACAACCCTTTACTAAGATTTTTTAAGTCAAACCTACTTCTGTTCCAATACAAATCCAATACGCCATTGGTTATATGTGTATATACACACAAACATCATCGTCATTTATAAGACTATAACATTTGCAATATAATCATAATAAATTCTCCTAAAAAACCATGGATTTCACCTCAGAAGCTGAAACTAATCCAGTTGATATAACAATTCAAAGTTCAACTTTCGGTACTCTATCTGTGGCGACGAAACAATAACTTTTTCTGCTAATTACTAGGGTTTGAACTTTAGGGTTTATCAGTAATGAAGATCTAAAGATGTTTTCACACACTCCAGCTGAACTTCTAACGAGAATTCAACGATTAACTATCAAAAACACTAATTAATTTCGAAAATTTCAACCTTAAACAATGATATATGTTCGATCTAACAAATTACAGCAGCATAACATCTGAAAAGACGCCAATGTTCTACAGATTAACAGACAGACATCGAAAACACGTAGTAGTGCAGAAAACTTACGTGAATATTATTCAGAGGTGAGATTGGAGACGAGTGAAAGCGGGAATCAAATTCTGAAATCTAAACTTGATGAAATACACTCAATTTGCAAGATATTGGTTTTATAGTAAATTACAATTTCGTCCCTGAACTATCAATCAATTTGCAGGTTTAGTTTTATTACAAGATATGTTTAATATACTCATTGACATATATTGTTTCAAATTTAATTGTTGTTTGGTAGTTGTTGGATGGTTTGGTGCATAATTATTAAGTGGTCAGAATGATTAATAGGCTCTCATGATATAGTGCAAAATGAAATATAATTGTTTGCAATTGTTTACGATGAAATTAGGGCGCGAAAATGGTTAAGGCAGACCTAGAATGCACAGAGAATTTTAAAACCATTAAGAGGTAGACTTTTTTTTTTGTCAAACAAGATTCACCTCTTAACGATTCAGATGTTGTCTTATAATGAAACTATATAGTTGTATTTTTTGTTTAATGGATCAAAAACACATAAAAGCGTCCAAATATATGTGAAACAAACACATTGTAAATCAAAAATATGTTAATCAATACATTACATCTAAACTGTAGATGAAAAACAATCATGATGCACTTATCAAGGTTATCACAATTTTGTGGGTTCTAAAATGAAAGCCCCCTTGTTCAGAAGTTTTAAAAAATATATCAAACTAGGGGTATTTACAGTGCAGTACGTTTTGGACTAGAACTGTGAACTGTATAATCTATGTGTCAACCCATAAAGAAAACCAGATCATGAAATGTGATGTGATACAGTTTGTATCTAAAGCACTTTAATCTCAATTAATTATAAAATCATAAGTTCAAAGTAAATTCGACGATAATATTTTTAACACGTATAAAAGGTTTCAATACGTCTGAAATACAAAATAAAAAATAGTTCAAAACAAACTAAAAGGTTCTAAGTAATTTAAATACATAACATCAGTCCAAAGCAAATTAAGGGGTCATTTATCAAACACTTATTCGGTAAGCGTTTATCTGTAAAATTCAACACTATTACATACTTAGTAGGTAGGATTTTAGTCCACCAAAACAGTATCATGCAACAATTTATCTGGTAAGTGTTAATTTTAGTAAACGGCCCCTAAATAAGTTCCATCATCTATAGGGCCGATCCTAAGCTTTTTGGTGCTCTGACAAAAGTGCTAAAAATGCCCTTATAAAAGAAACACTAAATTATTTCGAATTTGAAATTAAGTATTTTGTTAAAACTAAATAATTATCCTAATATATTTTAGATTTTTTATATTTAAATGTTTATCATCTATTTGATTATGTTTATCTGCAGTTAGTTACACGAATTGAAACATGAAGCTTTAATAAATTGTATTTATGCTCAATTTATTTGTAATATTGAATTTTAAGTAATATGCATTAATAAATATTACTTCATGAATAAAAAATGTTTTTTAAAAGTTTTTATCAAATGCTTTATAATATAACTAGAAGCGTACTCGCGCAATGCAGCGAGATACATCGTGATTTCAGTATTTCATTTTATTCTTTATCTCAGTCGATGTTATAATATGGCTTTATTGATTTTGAGAAATCGATGATGTTTTTATTTTTAAATAAAATATATGTTTGAAGATATCATAAAATTTTGACAAAAATATATCGATATTAGTATCAAATTAACTATTTTAAATTCCTCATTTTTTTGTGTAATTTTTTAATTCAATTTTTTTATAATTTAATTTATGTACAATAACGAAGTAATTTATATTTGGTTTAATAATATAATTATTTAATAAAAATAATAATTATTTATTTTGTTGGAACTCGATAATTATTCTGATTATATTTTAGATTTTTTATATTTTAAAATAAGATGTTCATCTTATATTTGATTATGTTTATCCGCAATTATTTATACGAATTCAAACATCGAGCTTTAATAAGTTGTGTTTATGCATAATTACTTGTAATCTTGAATTTTAAGTAATATGCATCGATATACAGTACTTTATTCATAACAAAAATATATCGATATTCGTATCAAATTAACTATTTAAAATTCCTCATTTTTTGTGTAATTTTTAATTCAATTTTTTATTATAATTTAATTTAGTTACAACAACGAAGTAATTTATATTTGGTTTAATAATATAATTTTCTTATAAAGATAATAATTAATTATTTTGTTAGAACTCAATAATTATCCTAATTATATTTTAGATTTTTTATATTTTAAAATAAGATTTTTATCTTTTATTTGATTATATTTATCCGTAATTAGTTATACGAATTCAAAAATCGAGCTTTGATAAGTTGTATTTCTGCATAATTTACTTGTAATCTTGAATTTTAAGTAAACATTGGTTTTATGTGG